TTGCGTATCTGAAGGGTGATTTGTTGCGAGAGTTTTGGAGGTTTAATATTTTGTTAACGAGATGGAGTCCTCATTAAACTTAGATTTGGTCAATAATTTTAATAACTACTTCAATATTACATTTTATACGCCTGGTGGCTTCTCATGCATGAGGGTGTGAGGTCGAATTGGCAGTCCTTCGACAAGCACCAATGCGTCTTTTCGGAGTTACATGTACCTACTTTCTAAGTTTATTTGGACACCATTGACACACGGTGAAGGAAAACATCGCGAGGAAACCTGAATTTCTAATTGGAAGTATGTAATCGCCAATCCATTTCGAGGAAGCGTGGTGACTAATGCTCAAACCTTCTCCACGTTAAATGAGGCCTTTGCTCAACAGTGGACACTTATAGGCCGATTATGTTTTATAGTAGCTGGTCTTACAATAAATATTTAGTGCTCTTAAATCCGTTATCGGCTTTTATCTAAATAGAATTTGTTTCAAACCGGTAAACAGTAGCAAATCAAGGAGTTTATATCAATTGAAAATCCTTAACCTTGTCCTTTTCAGCTTCTTTAGCAACTTTTTATCCAGAATTATATGTTATCTGATTTCCAATTTTCCAAGAAAATGTTCAAATGGATTTAAGGTTTACCCATTAAGCCTATGTCCAAGATACGCTATCTTCGTCCCTAGTTATAGGGGACTAATAAATATGCCGTAGCAAAGGGCATGTGTAGTTTCTACAATACCATTATTATTATTACGTACGTGCTTGTGTCTGTTCAAATAGAAACAATCAATCAAAGTAATGAGTTTATCTAAACACTTTATTTGTACATCTGTATAAATATGCGGTCAGCTGACCGCTGTCATGTCGTGTATTTCATTTACATGTCATGATTGTATTAATATAATCACAATTGCACTCTTATCGCGTATACTTAGAAGTTTAGAACTAATGACATAATTTTTCAGAATTTATTGAAATTTCGCTTAATTGTTACGCATAATTTAAGTAGTGTTGCTAATTCGATCTACACAAGTACTCCAAAAATTTTGATTAAATAGAAAATAAATAGTTGCACTAATAGCTTTTTTTAAGGACGAGACAGTATAAGATGTTGGAAGTATTCTGTTTTATTCTTCAGGCTCAAGGTTAAGAAATTTCCATGTTTTAGTTGGTGACTGTTATAAATGAACGAACCCGCTCTTGACCTCGATTTGTCTCTTAGAAAACGAATGATGATGACCCAAATGCGACAAGTTAAAATATTGCCATTGAGAAGCTAAAAGATAAACTGAATAATTTTAATCAACAACAAAACTTTACTATAGTAATCAAATCAAATCAAATCAAATTCTTTATTTCAAATAGACCAAAAAAGGCACTTTTGAACGTCAAGCAAAAAAGATATCATAAGGTTTAACTTTATGTGTCAGTCTGTCCGTCTGTCCTCTAGTGAAGCTATTTGCTCGTTCCAAAGTGTAGATTCCTATGGAGAAGAACGAGCAAGAAACTCCATGGTTACTCTTTTTCAATCACTTTTTACAATACATTGTTACATAATTTAGATAGCTCCATTATGTGAGAACAGTGTAACACTAGTGTTTAACCAAAGTATCCGAAAAAGAAATCAGGGACAGCAACTTTAGACAGTCTCGAGTTGACCAGTCCCAATAGGCGGCGTCCGTTCACGAACATGACACGTACACCAGCACCGCCCAACTCAACCATATTATAGGGAACCGAGCGGTCCAGTGCCCGTGCCACCGCCAATGAGACTCCTGAGTGAGCATGACAACTCCCAACTGACACAAGTACCAATATACTATAAGTCTATAAGTCTAACTCAATTATAATAAGTATATATTTTAATAACTAATCAAACATAAAAATTAGGAAAGAGATGTTCCTTAGCAATAGCTCAAAGTATTTTAGCTTGCAATCATTACACAATTCGCAGAAGAATTCAAATTAGCATTAATGCAAGCATAATAAATAGGTGAATGCATGCATTGAATAGCAAGTCTATTAAAGTAAGACATTTTCACCTGTAGCAGCATTGTTGGTAACAAATAATTAATTGTAGATAAAAAAAATCCGTATTAAGATTTTCCAACCATTTTCAATGAAGTCGGTAAACCGATTTATTATTTTATGAAGCTATTCTGTTCTTGTATGACACATTTTTATTATTTTACGCAATTTCTTTATACAAAATCTTCCACACATTGTTATAGAAATCATGATTTAGTTTTCTACCCTATTCTGAAATTGATCAACGATTCTTGTCAAAAAAGTAATTTTATTACTTGTTTTAGGACGCCCTTCGTTAGTTTCTTTTGTTGCAAATGTGAGCTGCTCGTACCTACCTAGGAGAATGTAATATGTGCTTAAGTGCACGTTATCAGTAAGGAAGCCTTTCGATTGTATATTTATATATGGAGCAGGCGGATATACCTCATCACGTGTTACTCATCGTAGTAAACGCTTGGCATACTTATTCATGCTACGTAAACGCAGCGTAGTGAACGCTTCCCGCTTTATTGTCTCAATAAGTCCTAGATACATTGCCAATATCGATAAATCCTATCGTAATAATATTTGTCAGCCTATTCAAAGAGCTTTTTTTAAACAGGTCGGTTGGATAAGTCAAATCTAGACTACTTGTCTTGATCTACAAATCCACTTGCACGATTCTACGAAATCTAAAAGTCATCTGAACGTGCTTATACTATTTCTAGCGGGTCGGAAATAAACGAGTACTTTCACCTTTCATCTAGGTTTGTTACTTGTGTCAAGCCTGGATATTTAGTTCACCGCGTAGTACATTGAGTCATACAGAATATTTAGAGTTTCAGAGCATGTGGATTTAAATAACTGTATATATTATAATAAGTGAAGCTCCAGTGAATGAGTCTGTGTGGGCAGGCACGCATTTACATTGAACGCCAGTCTTCGTCCAGGTGTTGGCAACATTTTGTCGTACCATAAAACCGGCATGCCACGCCAGTGCGCTCGACACATAAATATTGGCTGTAAATCATCACAATGCCTTATAATTAGCATGTGTCGCATACCGCGGCCCGTTTTAGTTTTAAGAACTGAGTCTGTCGAGTTTTTGGATTGTTTGTGACGGGATTCTGTTTTAACCGTGCACTTGGCTTTATGCTTTAGCAACTGGCAAGCGGTCTCGTGAGTCTTTTAGCCGAGTGCGATTGTGGATTCAGTTTCACCTCGTAAGGCCACAGATTTGGTTTCCATAAATTCCGTTCAGCTGATGTCACACGATACCGCAAACTACCTTTCCACTACCTACTTGATTCCGTACGCACTGCGTATAGATGATGAAATACTGACTTATTTTACCAGTCATCATGTCATTTGTATAATAACCAAAATCATCTCAAGTCTCTTCTGTCCGCAGGGCTCTGTAGATTTAGCTGCAGGATAATTCAATAAACATGATGTCATTCTCGCATGTAAAAATATTTACAGTAATGTATCCGCTATACAGTACAGTTACTTCACGTTACAGATGTACTAGGGAACTTTGATTTTAATTTAATAGTTATAAATGTAACATTTATTATACATATGCCAGTTAGTTTCCGGGAAACGTCATGGAATTGAAAAACATTATAGAATTTTGTTTCAATTAATGCGGTCGGGTCTAAGCTCTTTTTGATATATGCTGACCCCTAGAATCCTCTAGACCCCCTTGTAGGTAAGAAAAAAGACCCAATATCTAGTTTTCGCTCTTGCTGTAGTGGTCGAAATGGCTGCAACCGTCTGTTGACCTCTGAATAACAAATAAACAAGCAATATCCGTATCTAGATTGGTTTGCTTGCCTTTGCGATATTTCGTCCCTCATTTTCTATGAATTTCAAATTGTATAAATTTTACGACGCGCAACTATTTATAGGTAATGCTTTCAATTTATTTATTAGGAGTTTATTTCCTTCCTTCCTTTATGTATTACTGTTCTTATTGTTTCAATTGTATGTTGTGTCGTGGTAAAAAGTTTTGGATTGTAATTTACCTCCTTGTTTCTTCGTAATTAGTATGCCTGTGGGTGGTTGGGTACATTATGAATCGCCGAATATCGAAATTAGCTTTTAGGACCATCATTTATACCACGCTGTGATTCATCTCTTTCAAATCTCATAAATTATTGACTCCCAAAACGTAAATCTTTGTTTGATATATTGGTTTTTGTGAAAATTGGCTTTTTGTCTGTACAAATAAGTAGTCTTATTTGAAATATAACTCGTCATTTATTGTAAGCTATCGAATAGATGGTTGGACACTTCATCAGCAGTGTGGGAGGGGTCACACCCATATTTGATAAAAGTTCGTTAACATTAGAGGGCGGCTGTTTGTATAGTTTTTATTTAGTGTAGCTGTAACGGGTATATTCAATGATAAATGAGTAACCAAAGATATGAACTATGTAATAGGCAATAATTTGTCGATGCTGTCTTCGATATTATTATTGAACTCTGCCCTTAGCCCTTAGATTGTGATGTGTTCAAAGTAAAGCTATTGTAGTTTATAAGGAAACTGATAATAATAAGATTGTCTGTGTTGTTTTAAACGTATGATTATAACAAGAATTTCTCTTTCTCTTTTAAAAAATATAAATACAGTATGCTAAAGTCGAAGACAGCTATACATGTTACTTAGTATGATTCATGCTTAACGTTTAATCCTGATTGTTTTTTATGAGATACGTAAAAAGCAGAACAGACTGATAACCAGAGAGCCTACCATGACGTGTTAAAGCGTGAATCTTTCGGGCGAGAAAGAGGGATGGAGATATAAAAGGTGTATAGCTCCATCCCTCTTTTTCACCCGAAAGATTCACGCTTCAAAACTTCATGGTAGGCCTACTGATGTTAAAAATTGGCACTGCCAAGAGATATATGGCGTAACTTATGGGAGTGTGTTTCCACGCCCGTTTTATGTGAATGTCATGGGTCCAATTTTCTAATCTAATATGTTTGTTACAGTGAGCTGAAGAAGCTCTCTGAGGAGAGTCTGACTCGGCAGCCGGAGGAGGTGTTTGACATCATATGCAAACTCGGAGAGGGCTCCTATGGCAGTGTTTACAAGGTAAGCGAGGTCTTAGACGACTTTTGTAGGCTAATTCACCTATTAGATGAGTTTCCTTATAGATTTCCTAACGAATCCACGTGGTGATGTATTATTGATATATTTTATAGCTTCTGATGTTTAATTACTGAAGTAGGTACGTCCACTATCGTAGCCAATAAAACTTTATCAAAGTAACAAAACTTTACTCATTACACTTGTTTCCGTCCTGTTACAATGTTTAAGTTAATTAGAACTTAAGAACTGGCTGAGTTTCTTCTTGTAATTTGTATAATTGCTATAGCAAGTACGATCAGTCTACTAATCCTATTACGGTGAATATTGAGATCATGTCCAAGTAGTGTAGAAGCCTTATAAATTCATGTACAATGCAATAGTATGAGCAAGCCACGAAAAATAAATAAAACGTAAAACTGTGTTGTAAACAATAGTTTACTTAAGTTTATTCGTTTTCGTCCACAGTCTAGACGATTTTTTTTTACTATTCACCTGGATATTTTATCTTAATGAATACTAGAATAGCTTTGGTTGTCAATATGAAAGTTTTAAGTCTCCCAGACCTGGGTAAGGTTCAAAATGTATAATTTAAATTTGCCTTCAGATTGTCTGCAAGATCTTATTGAGTTAGCCCTGATTAGTATCCGCAGAGCGTAGCTTTAAACACCGCAATCCACTCAGTTCTGCCCTAAAATTGTATTCATTAGTATAGTCGGTAGTTCTTTGTAGACTTCTTTATTGTCGAGTAAGATTTTTGTTTTATATAAAGGAAATTTTTAGACTAACGAACTGAAATTCATTCATGTATACATATAAAATGCATATGAATATTTATGGGACAACTTTTTTTATGTGGTTCGTCGTCATACCACGGATTACTTGATGGTAAGCAATCAACGCCGCCCATGGACACCTGCAACAACAGTGGAGTTACGAGCTCGTTGCCCAATTTTTGGGGAATGGGGATTTGGACATTTAGGGATTGGGGAGGGGAAGGATTGGGCCTCCGGTAACCTCACTCACACAGCGGTTTTCTATGGTTGTTTCACGCCGGTTTTATGTCAGGCCGTGGTATCATTCCGGTCGAGCCGACACATTCGTGGCGAAACTTGGCTCTTCCACACTTAAAATCATGATTTATCTACATATATATATATTAACTTTTTCTCGTTGCAGGCGTTACACAAAGAGAGCGGGCAGGTGCTCGCGATCAAGCAGGTCCCAGTCGACACAGACCTGCAGGAGATCATCAAGGAGATCTCAATCATGCAGCAGTGTGACAGCCCCTACGTGGTCAAGTACTACGGCAGTTACTTCAAGAACACAGACCTATGGGTGAGGCATTCAGAGGTCACAATATGTTTAGTAAGTGGAGAACACGGTCGTTCATCTCATAATCGTACTTTTATGTAAGTGGCCGTGATTTTGTGCATGCTGACACGATTTTTTAGTTATTCTTGAAGTATAATTTGCAATTAAATTTTCACTCGACTAGCTTCTTATCAGGATAGATAAGATGGAAAGCGAATGTTGACATTTAAAATGCATTCTGTAAATCCAGCTAAGGTCCGTTGTTACCTTAGAAATTTCGGTATTAAATGTATATGTGAAAGCAAATATACCGTTAAAGCTATGAGCCTTAACACATTCAGTGCCCCCGACGCGTATGTGCGTTTCCTCGCACGCACACACATACGCGTCGGGGGCACTGAATGTGTTAACGCATACAAGCCATATTATATCTAATCTTTAATTGGTAAGCAAAACGATGCGGTTAAAGGTTGTAAATAAAACAGTTAGAACGTATGCTTGCAACTTCTGAAGCTTACAATTCGAAATAAACTGGCCGGTTGGGGTGAAAGCCCGAGTGACGACATTTCCTACCTCATTTCTGCGATGTGCCATATCGTTAAGTAATAGCGAGTTTTTACTAGAAACTGTAAGTTAACTCATAATGTTTCCGTAAAAACTACACTTTGAATACTCAAGTTGCTTTCTTTTGAGGGGCGAAAAACAACCAATTAATGATTTATCCCGCACTTAGTAGGGTTGAAGGAGAGAGTAGTCTCTCTTTTTTTTATTAAGATACATTGTCCCATACTTCTTCATTCTCGTATGTCGTGGGTGCGTTTACAAACAATTTGATATACATATTACGCCCAAACTAGGAACAAAAATTTGTGGATTACATAAGAAGTTTAACATCGAACCCGCGACACGTTGCGTCGCAGCCAGTTGCCCTGCCACCGTGGTAACTTGCAGTCACTGACTACAAACAACCCCATTCCTTCTTGTGCTCCGGGCCAAGCTGCAACATTGCACTTGCATTCAAATAAAGTTTCTTCGAATAGCAACATTATAACATTATAAACTATTAAAGAAAACTAGTATTTAAGATCGCTTCGTTACAAAGTATATGTATAGATAGATGCATGCCTAATATTATTGAGCTTTCGATGTTACAAGTATTATTATTTAGTATTGAATTGTATATTTTTGGAGTACATCACCAATGCCACTTCTTATCAGTGTGTGTTTTGTAAACTCTAGTACGATTTGCACGTGTTGTTATATAAAGATAAATATACATTATGCAACAGCATTATATCGTATGACTTTCTTTAGGGGCGCGGTTTACAAAAATGTGTTTTTTATGACTAATCTGCTACTTATCATCATAAGTATGTTTAGTGCTTCACCACAATTGGCAAGGCTACTTTGTATTAAGATAACTTATTCTTGGATTGTATAATCCACAGTTTACTTGACAAATCCTAGATTCATATATATGGTGTATGTATACTAATATTATAAAGAGGTATAATTTGAAAGTTTGTATGTAGGGGGTAAACTTTGGAATCACTGGTCGAATTACCAAGATTCTTTCACTGATAGATAGCTACAATGTTCCTGAGTGCTTTAGGCTAAAAACACACAACAACATCACGCTACGATCAAATGGAGCGATGAACCTGAGCAGAGGGTGAAACCTCGCGAGCGTAGCTAAGTAGTACTAAATAATAGGAAAGAGATTGAAAGACTTTCTTCTTCAGAAGACATGTATTGTTTACATCATCATCAACACGCCAGATATCCACTTTATATTTCCTCTGGTCTTTTGGACATTTATTGGGCGGTTCTGAGCACTTATCATCAGGTGACTCGTGTCTTTATTAGCCTTGTATAAAATAATATTATAAAGTGTGTGAGAGCCATAATTCGGCACGAACGGGTCGGCTCGACCGGAGTGATACCACGGCCTCACAGAATACCGGCGTGAAACAACCACAGCGTTGTGTTTCGCCGAGTGAGTGAGGTTACCGGAGGCCCAATCCTTCCCCTCCCTAATCCTAAAAGGTCGGCAACGCAATCGTAACTCCTCCTTTGCGAGTATCCATGGGCGGCGCTGGTTGCTTACTATCAGGTAATCCGTCTGCTTGTTTGCCGACCTAATTACCTATTACATAGAAAAAACAAGTTACATTTGTAAGTTTGTATGTAGGGGGTAACATTTGGAACCGTTGCCGCGCTGGTCGGATTACCGAAATTCTTTCACATAGATAGCTACAATGTTCCTGAGTGCTATAGCCTATATTATTTGCGTATTTAGTTTAGCTATCTGCTATATATGCTACTGCTTTTATACGCGTGTAAACCCGCGGGCGGAGCCTAGTACTCCATAACAAAATTCTACTACTTCGTCTATCTCCGACACGAGGAGGCAGCGAATCTTGTCTTCTCACAGTTATGGAATCTGTAGACAATTTAAATGATCATTATTATCTTATTCCATGTCTATTAATCTCTATCCCATTATCTTTTAAATCCTACTGTTGCTAATAGCTTGTAATTGACAGACTATTAAGCAAAACATATCTCTGGTAATAAATAGGGTGACAGACAGGCAACAGACGTTTCTTTGTCATTTCAAGGTCAACGTGCGATCGATAACTTATCAGATAGGCGCCAATACACACGTATGATATAATATACTTACCTACTAGGAATGTGTTTGGGGACTGCAGTACATTCGCCTTTATATCTAGTCTTCTTGCAGTTAATAAAAGAGCAGGTTGAAAGACTATGTGCATTTACGTAATGAGCCACTGGTGTATCAATGACTTTTACATCAAAAAATGGTTAAGTATGATGTGTGATTGTAGATATGTGTTATAATTGATGTTATTGTCTGCTTAAAACTTTAAAGGGCATGCTTTTAAATATTTTTATTTGTCAAAATTAGATGAGACAACACACTCTGCAAGTGGAAAGTGCCCTTAACTGATCGGTTAACGAACATTCGTGACGATACATCGTGCTGAGTAAGCATATCGGTCGATGCACATAGTTTGTAACAATGATCATGAAAACTAGCTCCAGTGTGAGTTGTAGTAGTCGTGACATTCAACGTAAAACGGAAGTATCTGTAAGAATGATTAAAACTACTACGAAACGGTAACTGGTGCATAATAAGCCTTACATAGCCTTACTAAGTGAAGGATATTCATTCATCACCACACTCAACAATCAACTGAACTCAACTAACGGTAGTGTACGGGCCAACTGACCCCGCACATACTTTAAAAAATTAGTCAAGGAAAATTTACGAATATATTACCTACTTATCCTTAGCTCTACCACCCATCACCAAACATTATCATCGAACGAAATAATTTAATTACTGAATGCTGTAAACCTGGCAACTCCTACACATTCCCCCGTATTTACAGATCGTAATGGAATACTGCGGCGCCGGCTCTGTCTCCGACATCATGAGGCTGCGCAAGAAGACCTTATCAGAAGACGAAATAGCCACCATCTTGTGTGACACCCTCAAGGGTCTGGAGTACCTGCACAGAAGACGGAAGATTCACAGAGACATCAAGGCTGGGAACATACTGCTGAACACTGAGGGCCATGCCAAGCTAGCAGACTTCGGGGTCGCCGGTCAGTTGACGGTGAGATGACATGTTTGTATATTTTCTCGAACATTCCCTCGGTTTCCCAATATGGATTTGAATGGTCCTATCTATGGGAAAGGGCGTTTCTTTGGCAAAGGAAAATCGACTTTATTATTTGCTTCCATATAAATTTGATGATTTTGAATTAGAGTTACTTAAGTCGTTAGTCGTGACCGTTCCTCCTAGAATTCCAATAAGAATGCTGATGATTATTATAAGTACTTAGCAAAATGTTGAATAGTTACTATCGTGAGACATACTTAATTTATTGAAAACGACTGACTCATGTGAACAAAGCTCTTCTAGTTTTAAGTCACTGTACAAACTAGTAGATCAGAAAAACACTGATCCTGTATTAATCCTTAAAACAAAACATTATTTTAAAATTATTTTTATTAATTCCAGGACACAATGGCAAAGCGCAACACAGTAATAGGAACTCCATTTTGGATGGCTCCCGAAGTGATACAGGAGATCGGTTACGATTGCGTGGCAGATATCTGGTCGCTGGGTATCACGGCACTGGAGATGGCAGAAGGGAAGCCACCATACGGAGACATACACCCCATGAGAGCCATATTTATGATACCTACGAAACCACCTCCGTCGTTTAGGTGAGGAAACTTTTACAAGTTAAAAGTTTTGTTTATTTTAACTACTAATGTACTTGAGCTTAGAGATTTTTTCTTTTCGTTTCTCCTTTTCTTTGGATGAGTGCTCGTGATTAGGGGTTTTTCATGTCTTGAAATATTTGTTAAGAACTGTATAAATTATTTCAGAGAGCCTGATCAATGGTCCCCAGAGTTCATAGACTTTGTAAGTCAGTGTCTTGTGAAGAATCCAGAGGAGCGAGCGACCGCCGAATACTTATTGACACATGAGTTTATAGGTAGGTACAAAACCTTTACCCTCTTATTACAAAACAAACGAGCAAACGGATTACTTGATGGTAAGCAATCAGATCCACCCATGGCAACCGCCCGGAGATTTTGAAATTGGGGATTTGGAGATTTTGGGATCGGGGGAACACGGTGAAACCTAACGCTGTGATTGTTTCACGCCGGTTTTCTGTGAGGCTGTGAGGCACTCCAGTTGATCCGACCCATTCGTGCTGAATCTTGCCTACCCAAACGTGTGTGGATGATCCGATTATGATCATACTTTTTTATTGAAAAGTGACTTGTATTTGAAATGGCAATGTTTGTACAGGTAACGCCAAACACCCCAGTATCCTGAGCACGATGATAGCAGAGGCGCGCGAGATCAGAGAGAGTCAAGTGTTCCGGAATGCTCAGCATCAAACCAATAATGCTAAGACATTCGCTGCGGTGAGTGACACATATTTATGTTAAGTAACTAGCGACCTAGAAAGAAGGATGGAGCTATAAATTATAGCTCCATCTCTCTTCTTCCCCCGAAAGACGTATTAACACATCATGGTAGGCCCTCAGCTACTATGTCAGTCATTTGTGTTTCGTCACGGCCCCGAAAATTCGATAGAGTTGCTATTTTCTTTCATAATAACTTTCTCTTGCAACAAACACAACAAAAAAAAAGTATTGCAAATATTAGCTCAGGCGTTGTTGAGTTTTGAGCTTAGCTTAGCTTTGAGATTCATTTTCGTATATAGATTGAAATGTGCTAGTGTGTAGCCACTATCTTGCCTCACCGATATCAGAACTTTTAATTAAATATTGATCTTGGAAGTTCCTAATGTATTGCTGTCTTTCCCAGCGCGCTTTTATAACTAAAAGCAGCGAAAGACGATTACGTTGTTTCTAAATTTGTCTATTGTTACGCTTTTACTCTTCATCTACTGAACTATTTCCGATCTAATTTAGTACACAGATTAAATAGGCTTTGGAAAATGACACTAAAAAGACACCATTTCATCTGTTGAGATATTAATAGTTACCTAGGCGCAATTATTTTTATATTATTATTGAAGTTACCCCCTTTGGATTTCATCAGTATAGGTTTTACACTTTTGAAATTCTTTGTTTGTGTATTTCAGGGTGAGGGTTACGAAGAGGCGACGATGAAGCAGCGTAGCGACGGCACGCTGGTCCCGACCAGAGACGCCACCACGGACCTGGCGGCAGACCTCGGCACCATGGTCATCAACGAGCCTGATGCGGATCTAGCTACCATGAAACGTAAGAAAGCTATAACTTAAATAAAAAAAAATAGAGGGACACTGTCATACTTTTGTTTTGACACGAGTGAAACTAAAACTAGTCAGCCTTAAAATATGCTTAAACTAATTGTTAGAAAATGAGTAATTGATAACTCGGAGCATTGATACCACTACTACTACTTTGTATTCTGCGATTCTATCTACATAAGTAGATACTTCAAATACAACATATTATTGATAAATATCACTCAAAGAAAGTATTTAACTTATTTATCGATCCATTTAATTAACAGCCTATCCTGTTTTGTACCATTCTGGAGGCTGTTTATTTCTGACTTCGATTTTTGTGCGGTTTACAATTGCAATCTAACCTAACCTACCACTGTGGTAGCAACTCGGTTTTAATGACCTTTCAACTTACAGCTTCAATGAAAAATTTAGCCATTCAATCTAACAACTAGTTATTAAGGATGTTACTTGGATGGCTTATTCATCTATTTGACTAATATGCACAAACAGGGAGAATGATGTTTATTAAAAAAATATGCAAAACCAAATCAAATCAATCAAATCAAATCAAATTCTTTATTTCAAATAGACCAAAAAAGGCAGTTTTGAACGTCAAGCAAAAAAGATATCATAAGGTTTAACTTTATATGCGTCAGTCCGTCCGTCTGTCCTCTAGTGAAGCTATTTGCTCGTTCCAAAGTGTAGATTCCTATGGAGAAGAACGAGCAAGAAACTCCATGGTTAACATAATTTAGATAGATCATAAGATAAACTGTAACATCTTAATGACTACTAATAAAAATTTTAATTTCAATATCTAATTCATGTTGATTTAGGATGATACTTAGGTATAGCAATGCTTGTAAAAGTCTGCTAAGTCTCAAATACTTAGCCGTAACCTAACGCCATAATTGTACACTTAGTTTGCAATAAACGTCTTGACTTTGACTTTGATTTTACTCCTAGATACACAGATGTAATGTATCCTTATATTGTCCACAGGTCACGATACAGACCCAATGGACACGAACCGTCCGAAGTACCGGCCGTTGTTCCTGGAGCACTTCGAGAAGAAAGAGGTCAACCACCTCAACATGGCGGCCACTACCAACGGAACACTCACTCCTGCGCACCGAATAGTGCCTGATGAAGACAGGTACATTACTATATAAATATTATAAACTAGCTACTCTCTCGCAGTTTCATAGCCTATAGCACTCAGTAACATTGTAGCTATTTATCAGTGAAAGAATTTTGGCAATCCGACCAGCGGTTCCAAAGATTACCCCCTACATATAAATTTACTAATTTTACCTCTTTATAATATCAGTATAGATGTTGGAGTATGAAGAGATCGATGAATGTGTAATGAAAGGAAAGAGATATGTTGGGATTGTGTTGTTTAGCGTTTCAAAAAGAGTGTTTTACAAAATGTCGGTGAGATTACAGTGCAAATTGCTGTTTATTATATCGTATGATAATTTCTCCCGCAGCGTGACAGCAGAAACAGAATCAGAAGCGAATCCCGCACTAGCGTTCCAGCGCGCGTTCGTAGAGGAGGGCAATTTCGAATTCGTAAGTCAGCTGCACGTCCTCACCGTACTCCCGCTACAAACACGTAAGGCGCACACTCCGACCCCGATACATGCACAAAACATACATTTCTAAAATTATTTTCTAACTTCCTAGGTGGAAAATCAAAACAGTGACCCAAATGTAAGAGGCCCGATACAATTTGTTTAGTTTGCATGACACAACGACTACAGTTTGAAATGCAAGTATTCATTTATAATTTATTATACCCCTGGACAGCGTTCCGTGCTTCAACTAATGCATTGATTGGCCATTATTTCTAAAGTATTCCTAACATTGATATACGATTGGGATTTTGTTCTATACTCCGTTTGTTCACCTGTCAACATGTCACGTCACTAATACGAGCGGATAACGGATGTGTGCGTCACTAATCGCTTTACTTTTTGCGTGGTTTCTAGAAGAAATTAATACAATAATATTTATTAATATCTTCCGCTTGTTACATTTTTGGTATTGATAGTTTTATAGGGAAGATGCGCTTTGATATAATGTTGAATAAGGTATAAAGGAATATAGGAATATAACATGCAAATGACGCTGTGTAAATAAATAAAACATATTGCATACAGTAGCCTCAAGCCTGCATCTTCTCTATCCTTCCAACGGCTATATAAGCAGCAAAATGTTCTTTCAGCTCGGCTACCTATCAGTGACGGAGTTGGAAGATCGAGTGGCGCGATTGGACGCGGAAATGGAGGCCGACATTGAGCGTCTGCGCGCGCGCTACCACCGCAAGCGACAGCCCATACTCGACGCTATACATCTCAAGCGTAAGCGACAACAGAACTTCTAAGGATTGAAGGTGCCAAACTACGGTCCGGACTCCATCGAGGAGGAGCGGAGATGTGTACTCAGTGAACTCTATTTAGAGGGCTGAGTTGTATGGATGAACGAAATGGAGAATGTTAACAGATACAAATAAGTACATGAACTTCATAGAAATTAATTTGCTTACTTTTGTTGTACAATCGAATTATATTCGTCCAGTTTTGATGACTTGCATTTTTAACTGCATTCTTTGTATTGTGACGTCATAATTGAATTTTCTATATACCTACATATTCATATTTTGACATTGCCATTAATAGTAGGTATTAAAATTATAATAATTACGTTTCATAATTATTTGAAATACACAATAGTTAGTTTTTAAAATACCTTTTTAGCAACATGCTCCATTTTATTAGTTATTTAAAAAAACATCTCCGCTCAACTCGTCACGTCTTAGTTGGAGTCCCGACTTTCAACATGTTCCTAAATTATTACCCTCGATGCATTTACAATACTAAATTCGGCCTATATTTTTGAAATTTATTCTCAATTTAATAACTTGGCCAAATACAGTGCCATTCGTGTGGAATATTCGTTGTGTGCTTTGATTAACGTTTGGTGCGAAATTTAAGCCAACAACTTTAGGCTGACAAAATACTTCTTTAAATAACAATTACGTCATAAGGAAATTTAACATTTCAATAAAGTAAAAATATCACTTTGACACTTTTTTATGTATTTCTATGAGTACTAAAAAGCTGTAAAGTACCTTGTATGGTATTAAAATTTATAAATTTGATATTGGATCGTATTTTCTACATATGTGCTACAATATAGAGTGCTTTTATGCGTCATTTGGAATATTAAGGAAGATTATTGAACAGTAATATATGATACTTACTTAGGTTGAACCAAAAATCCATAGTATAAGAGACGTTTTTGTCGAAACTATACACTACACATCCAATCATAAGTAGTCTAAATTACTAGATTTAAAAGTATATAGTAGTATTATATACTTTTTGAAACAGTTTTCCCACAAATTCATATTTTCCTGTTCAATATTTTTCCTTTATACAATTGTAAAATGAAGCGTATTAAAAAAAACATATAATGACGGTCTGAACTTATTCAACCGTGTTAGATGTAGTGTAGCTTGTTAATATAGATAGGTAGGGTAGTTTTAGTTAGCCTGACCTTATGGGACAGTAAGGTTGCTGAGACATATCCGCGCGGAGCAGGTGGCGCCACTGTCGATTATGGGCACTCCCAGGCATATGGACGGTGGTCTGCTCATGTACTTTTTTTCTCATTTATAATCAAGTTGGTGATGTGTAGTTATTTTTCTAAAGTCGATTTTACATACCTATGTGACTTATGTTCTTAATGAATCTATAGAAAAAGCTCAGTTGAGATATCTTGAAAATAAGTCCTGCTATTATGTTGAAATAACTACACTGCATTGTGATATTTGATAGTTATTAGCGTATTTAATGAGAAAGAAAATACATATCCGCCATGTAGAATATTGTATTAAATTCATGACAATATTATTTGTAGATATTACTGTAATGTGTAACAAATAATTTCAACGTGAACTGTTTCGTTTTGTTTGATGTATTGAGTTCATACAGTTATTGTTAAGTTCCTTATGTTTTAGATCTCAGATGTATCTCGCTAAACTGTATTATATATACGTATATATTGTAATTAGATATTATTCACTCATATTGTACATTGTTTACGACTTTGTAGTGGGTTGTGAGATGAATTTATTGAAAAAATGTTATAATACAAGTTAAAAATGGTTTCAAGTGGAGGTAAGTGAGTATGGGAACGCCTGTATATCAGTAGTGGCCCATACACAGTTGCCGGCACCTGGTTCTCCACCAGTAACAGTTCCGGGTTCCACTCCCATATATTTCCCGTGTGCCGTCTGACTCTTAGTACACAGAACATAGCAATATTTCTTATAAGAATATTAACTCTATGCTAGCAAGATTTTATGCATTTCTACATTGTAATAATGTAAAATAATTAGCAAATGTTATGAGATAATAGCGTTGACGAGTGAATACTTGCGCTGGACATAGCTGTTTTCATATTTAAAATATCTCTTTTGCCATAATGTACATTACATATTAGTACATATTTAGTGTTCATCTTCATCGATTTGAAAGTTAAATAATACAAAAGTTTTAGAAGTGCCATTAAATATAAATAAAACATAGTATTTTCTTACTACAAGCAATAGTTTTAAATTAGATATCTATATCTTTTATCAATGAATTATAAGAAGATCGGCGATATATTTTTGTGCCATTGGAGGTGAAATGATTGCATATAGTTTTGTGTAAATTGAAATTGAATGTTGGTTAACTGTCAGGTCGGATAGTGCATTACAGTATCTAAATGTTGGCAACACCACCTGAGAGCAGGCACGAGTTTTGTAACATTTTATGAATTCTTAAATTGCCAGACGAAATTAATCAACCAGTATTACTTTTGTAACATTTGATGATGAATTGCTCGAACATTGTTTTTGCTAATAAAGAGTTTTATACATTTTTTGAAATTACATCAATTTGGCTTTGGATAATTTTGCATATTTATAACTGGGGCAAGTTGACAGGATTAACTTCACCCATATTTCATTTAAAGGGTCTAAAAGAATATTATTGCAGTCATAACTGTACTGATGGAAACTGTCTCGCAGTCAATTAACGGAAAACTAACAAAATGAAATAGACATTTAGGTAGATTTAATTTGACATGAAGTGCACATAGGTGCTGATATTTTGTACATATTTAGTTGAACGTTTAGACTCGAGATACAGAACCCTGTTGACTATATGCAACCGGCCTAGCAAATGAAAAAAATTGGGAAAAACATTCGTCTTTGAACATGTACAGGGTAAAATTCTATAAATACTTTATTACTGCGAAACTCGCTTGGACTATGGTCGCTTGCTTCGTACTTTTGGTTCGACATTTATGAACTTATTCGTATATGTATAATTTTTACCAAATTTTGGAAAATTAATAATGTAATCAATATAATTTTTGAAGGAGTTATATATATTTAATTTTAAGTATTGTAACTACAAAGTTAGGTTTAAAATAGGCTGAATATGGATGACGAAATAGCAATAACTAATAGTGTTGTTGATACCATGTGCTATTTTTGACATTCTCATGCAATTTTACCTTGTTGGAAGTGTTTTACATTAATAAAACGTACTAGAACAACTTCGGAGTCCATAAATTCCGTAAAAATAAATAAGTAAGGTGACAAATTGAACCTTAGAACATTTCCAGCAAGGTTATTTATCGAACAAAACAGTATAGTGTTGTTGACGAGTGTTTCGTTGAGCGTTCGTTCTAGTAAGTTTATTGTTGGAATACGACGCCGCTTGGATACATACAGCGAGTGTGTTATGTACGGCAGGCACACCGCGCCACACATCGCGGGATTTTTTACTAGAGTGAATATAAGGAAACAAATTAACGCGTCATAAGTGCCGTCTAAAGCTAGATTTTACCAAGGAAAGTAGAAATTAAATAATGAGTAAGTTACGGGCGCGTTCGTTTGTTTTCTAAGTCACTGTGGAAGGAGTATTTGATAAGATTGTTTTGTATTAGGAATGGTAGGTATTGGCAGGCGGTGTGGCCGGTGTATGGCGCGGTGTGGGGCCAACTATTGCCTTGTATTATAGTTTGTTAGAGTACGAACAAAGTGCACTTTGTAATTCTGTAGCCTGTTGACAAGTGTTGCATAGCTGCGTACGCATTATATTTTTGGACAGACAACTCACTGAAATAAAAGATTAATTCATTATAAAACCTGTATTTTATTTACTCGTTCAACGAAGTTACAAATCTGTCAAGACTGCATCTGTACAACTATATACTTATATACACGTTTACAAACACGATTGAAGACTTATTATTACCAATTGCTAATGGAAATAATTAAACTTTTAGTTTCATTTTTAATCTCAAAACAATTAACAATTTACATTTCTTTAAAATAATCTCTATGCTGACTAGTATTTCTTACAAATCAATCCATATGATAGCCTTTTTAATAACAAATCTAAAGCATTTTTATAACAAACCGAAACTTAGTATAACAACCGAAAAATCACAGCTAAAGAAGATTCATAAACTTATAAATACTTATAACAAATACTCAAAATTGATTTTAGCAGCTATAAAATAATACTCGTTCATGAGATATTTTGTTTAAGGAGAGGAACACAAGGTATGTATAACTACGGTGGGAAGAAGACACTGGTCAGACGCGGCGAGTTATTGCAGTAACAGTATTCAGTTACTTAATTTACTCCTAGTACATAAGGAAAAAACTATTTTATGAATTACTTGTTCACATTTCACACAACACTGCAGTTTTGTAATCCGCGGCTGACCAAATTAATTAGTTTTGTTTATCTAGTTAATTCTTAAATCGATATAATACTAGTTCGTTCTACTTAGGGCTAGAGTTTAGCTAGAATAAATATACAGGTAGGCAAGGCAGGTTACCGTATAGGATGTTCAAGTACAGCTTAAATTTTATTTATAATTTATTGTCTCCAATACAATATTTCAGTTTATATGGCAAGAAGTGACGCTGAGATCAAATCAATAATACAGCTCAGTTAAACCTTTTAAATCGTAGTAGTTCGAGAGACAATAGTAGAACAATATGTGCGCGAACGAACGCCGGCGCTCGCCTGGGGTTTGGTGAATTAAAAAGGATTTTGAAAGCTTACATTTTCCATTTTGCCTAAATTTACACTATAAGGCTCAACCTAATACAATAATCAGATGATTCCTAACAATTTAATTCGTAATATTCGATAATCACAGCTACGATGGAATGATAATATTTCATGATACATGAACATGCGGACAAGGTCCTCTAGGTCAGCATTGCCTGGATGTGACTCGCAGCTGACACTACAACGTGGCCCCTAATAACACCCTGTTGTACCTACTAGGCAACTTCAACACCCAAGCAATGCTTTACAATCGAAAAAACAACTAAAAAGATCGCTTATCAATATAAAGGAGAAGCAAAATACTCCTAATCAACATTTTTACAAGATTATTATACAATTCTTGTAAAACAATTATATTAATTTATCAGCCTCTGCGGCGGAAGAGCGCATCCTAAGGATGACAACTATAGTATCGCCTAACTTAACGATATTGTCCTTATACTAGTGTCGCAGTATCATTTGGCAGTAGAGAAAGCTGTCCAATACTGGAAGGGAAATGAAAAAAATACATTAGTACATCGAAGAATGATATGAATAGTGGGTTGTTAGTAATACCGTAATGTTTTCAGGCAACAGAGGTGTGTAGCTCAATAAACCTTGACCTACTAAGCTAATGGTGTGACCTTTCGCGTCGTGTAATCTTTTGTGGCATGGAACACGACCCCTCAATAGTGCTATTTCTATAGACTGCTGAGTAGGTAAATATTGCGAAGCTACCGGCTACACGGGCTGGATTATTCAGCAGTATTAAATTTCTTTTTATTAGAATTTGAATCAGGGTTCAGAACTTGTTTGGGGGTTAGGTAGGTAAGGCGAGAGAGAGTGTCAGACTCTTACTGAATAAAACTTTCCGTTCCTTCTCCTGTTTTGAGCCAAGTTCGCGGTGCCTCATTGCGCTTACCCCGCAACCCCGGCTGAACATTAGCCCCATAGGGCCCCGTCTGTGGTGGTCTATCTGTTGTCACCAGGTATAAAAATAAACTCGCTACTGTAATATAATCGCATTCAAGTTTTAGTTGCTTCGGCAGGAATGGGACCGCTCGTCCGAAGTGATACCACGGCCGCAATCTAGTGAGTCTCCACGGCCCAGAAAACCAGCGTGAATCAACCATAGTGTTCTGTTTCGCCATTTCAATCGCTAATCTTCCTAATTCCCCTATCCGGAATCCCCATCCTGAAATTCCTAACCCTCAAAAAGCACAGTAATGCACTCGTAATATCTGGTGCGCATTACCTTTAGGTATTTATTTATACGTTGTTGCAAGTTTCGTGTAATATTTTCCAGCAGTGTACAAAGGTAACTTGATTGAAACACGAAGTAAAAACAACAATAGAAAGAATCCTTCGCGATCGATCGTATAAGTGTTTATTCAAGGTCCATCAAGTCTATGTTTAAGTAACTGTGCCTAATTTATTAGTCTTGTAATGAGCTAATAATACGATTACGTATAATCTTGTAGACTACGTTAGATATCCTTACATTTAACGATAAGTAAATAATTTTAGCCGTCAAGAAAAAAAATTGAACACGCCGCTCCACGGGATCACAGGAAGATCGCCATTACGTCGGGAAAAATAAGAATCAAGGATGCCAAATGTAAATGCCTTATATAAATTCATTTTCAATGTATGATTGGCCACATCCTTTTATCGTTGAGCCAAATTTTTATAGCGCCGTAAACACAAGGTCGGAATTATTTTCCTAGTCAACTTATAATTTTGTGCTTTACATGCGAATTAAATAATTTTCTTTCTTTGAAGAAATGAGTATGGACGTAGACAGGTCAAGTCCTATATAACTGGTTCAGCAAACTGAATAACAATGACAGGGTTATTAGAGGGGTCGAATGGCGCGCTAACTGGCCAATTGAGTGTTACGTCACGTACGACTCTGATTCCCGGATGGAAGTGAGCACATGATACAAGAGACAGGGGACAACAAAGGAAAGGAAACTTACGATATTGCGCAGCGCTGATCAGCAACTCGTACAATTGCATTGGACCCTTCCCTTTTAGCAAGATTTCGCAGACAAATACGTAGATCACACGCGTGGTTTCAAACAGAGAATCCAGTAACAACCAGGTCGTGATGTTCCGACCTGTGTTCTGGCTGGCACTGCGGTTCATCGTCACACAGCTGTTTAGGAAACCTATGCCACTTGTCACTATCATTAGACCTGATATGAAGTAGTGGACACCTGAAAGAAAAATGAGAAAGTGACTGTAATACAAGCTTATTTTAAGGTTTTTAGGCGATAATATAGTGAAATTTCAAAGCACCTGCCTATCATTTTGTACATAATTCAAATATAAGTATTATGTGTTATTAAAATTGCTTGAAAACATTATAAATTGCACTGCACTTTAAAAATCAAGCTGTGTCTTTACTAGACTTATTAATTATAACTGATAATAAACAATAAGTTTAATATTTAAAAAACAAAGATATTAGATCAAAAACAGATGCAACATAGACATAGACTTATAATACAACCTTTAAATTTTTTCTAAGAGATTTTTTTCTTTTGTTTTTTTAAGAGAGTAGCAGCAATATCCATGTTCATGGCATAAGAGCAATCTTAAGAAAAAAGAGTTATAGTATACCTAGAGCATCATTACCTATCTCATTTCCTTCTAAAGGATCTAGGTAAAATAGGTCTGGATTGAGGAGGCGCATTAATGCTAGAACAAATGCTGTGGCCGATGATATCTGCAAAAATAATTAAATTAATAACAAAGAAAAGAATGGTGAACTGGGAGCATATTCAGTTTTGTAATAGGTATTATAATATTTAAAGCATGAAATTCTAGTTGTATGTTATTTTCTACCAATGTTAGTCGTGTTATTGCTGGGATTGCTTGTGGAAGATCAGGAGATTTAATGTTTTATTACATTAAACTGGAATTTCCTCTTTTAGGAGCTATTGCTTTTATTACTACTTGTTGTTGGTAATAAATTCGGCCTACTCTTGATGCTTGACCTCCTCTTAGTTAATTCATCAAATTTCAAGTGTTTGTGCACCTATTGTTCTTTTATTGTGTCTTTAATTACCAAAATTGAAAGCTTAAGACAAATACCTAATTAGAATTTGAACTGGAAAGTTTGAAATCAAATAATTTTCCAATTTAAAATATTTGTCTATTAGTTGAGCTCTAGATAATTTTGCTTACTTCCAAATTATTTTTAGCTAATATAATAAATATTTTAACAATTCATATACATAAACAATATCATCAGCCAGTAATAAATACTAGCTATTATATTAAACAAATTAGATTTAAGATCATATGATATTTAAGCTTTTATCAGTAGCCTAATAAATAGTCTTAATAATATTGTTATGTTAACAGTGGTTTTAATTTATTTGTGCTTAAATTAAACCTTGTAAGACAAAGATAACTTCTGTGTCATTACAACTGTGTGTTTACAAAGATTATAAACAAACATTGGCAGCAATTAAGACAGAACAACACAATAATAATAAAATACGGCATGTTTATTCATCATTACGTTCTTAAGATAATATTGTGTAACAATGAATTATTTCATAAACAACTTTTAAAAGCAAAACATAAAAAAATTAACGTAATAATGCGGCACGGCTGTATTACGATTTAACATGAGGGTACCAAATAGTTTTTATACAAAATTTCAAGTTGGCTATTATAGTTTATGGATGCATTAATAAATAACTATATCGTTACACAAAATATTTAAGAGTTTAAATAAATATAAACAATATTTACTCACAGAAAATACGGCAGCGACGACTCTCACATACACTTTTAGATCTAACATCGGCATTGTTTTAGATTGTGTTGACATCGAGACACAAAATTACACAATCACTTTCACTCAGTTGATACTCGTACCAAATGTGATATTTTAATGAAAATCAATAATTCTGTTTTAAGTTATCCGCACTTACGCGCTCACTTTGTCGCCTGCCTGCTACCCGATCAATTTTTTATCAATGAAATGACAACAACGTAGGTAATGAAACGAAGCATTGACAGATTGACAGTAGTGACAATTTACAATGTGTCAAGTCAGTCCTAGACTCCCCAAACAAACGCCAAACAACCAACATCATGATAACACACTTTTAAATATTCATTTAAATATTAGGTACTTTGTACAAAATTTGTTAAATTATAATGAATAATAGAAAAAAAATTACCATTGTTTTGAACAGTTTTAGCGCCATCTCTTTCTTATAAGTATTTTGATCCCTTGTTTTAATTTGATAGGTACAGTATTTCTTGTTAAACGCAAGATAGATGGCTCTAGTGACAGTTTTATTATATAATTTTATTTGAAATGTTTGCTTTGACAATGTATAATATTACCATATTGTAATTAATTTATATTTAATTTGTTTAGAAATTTGTTACTCCAATTTTTATCTAGCTTCTGATTATATATCAGGTGCGTGATATTCAACTTGGAATCCAAATACCTATTGGATATTGTAAGAAGCACAATAAAATGTACGTACTTACTAAGGTCGCAATATTTCAGTTTCAACAACAATCTATTTAATAAACATCTTTAAATGAAATTATTCAGTGAAGATAATATGGTTGAAGTGTGACAAAATTATAATTATTAATTTCAATTGGTCACAGATGTCAGCACTCGTCAAAAGCGAATGTAAAAAGCAATTAAAAATATTTGTAGCCTTTTCTACGGCTGTCAACAATCGTATGATGAACCCATGATGGACTCGCATTTTATTTGAATGGGGTTACTTATAATAATGTTCCATTAGCAAATTGTTTGGGCGCCAAATGAATATTAATGAATAATATTTTACGTAAATTTAAAAATAGTTATTTTTCAAATGTTAACATTTTTAATTGTACTTACATAAAGTACAAAAGTTGTAACTGCAAATGCATTTCGGTACCTACTGTAAGTAGAAAAAGTGTTTTTTAACGTCCAAAATCAAAGCGTAGACAAATTAATAAACGAGGAAGATTTTATAAGGGCCACATTTATTTAATTCTATGTTCATAATTTAAAATTAGAACGCCGATTTTAGTGATGGGGCGTTTCGAATAATGCTCGACGCACGCTCAATCATTAGCTTCCATTCATCGAATCGTTGTCGGATTCGATTAAACCGATTCTATTCCAATTAATCTGATTATAAATTTACGAGTTGTTGCCTGTTATAAATTTCGTTGATTCCTCCTTTGCATAGTTTATGGCGTTTCTGATTTACTGTTTGGTTACCAACTGGTATATTTACGATTACAGTTATGATTATTATTGTTTGATATTTATTGTACTAACAGTCTACAACTCCTTTAACAGAAGTTGTAGTCATGCGAGTAGGTAAGTAGGTTCCTTCTGAACCACATGAAAGTCTATAGTCTGTTTAAGATCGTAAGCTTTGTCAAAAATCGATTCAGATTTTTTGGATTATTTAATTTTGGCAACTTAGGAAAAACTTGCAAATTAGGAATTCTTTGACGTAGTCTATTTTCCTCTGGGCGTCTTTAAAGTTTGAGTACTTAGGCGTGCTCGATTATAGGTCATAATAATATATCATCGCTTACCACCAGGCATAATCGCAGTCAACCCTGCATTACGAATAAAATCCCGATCTCTGTCATACTAAACCTTTAGCACTGTAGGTAACCTCAAACCAGCCTGCAAAGCATGGCGATTATTGCAAGTCACTTATGCTGAAGAGGCGAAAACATTGTTTCATGTTAGTTTAGTATAATAAGAATGGACTTTTTGATTAATATTTGTTTAAGACTGACCAGTGGCAGTGTTTAATTAAATTAGTACAAGCGTATACTGAGTTGCACAAACAATAAAGCACTTCGGTTGCTACAAACCTATTAACTATAACCTCACTATTTTCTCTGACCACTTGTTAAAGTGAAAGGTCAGTATGTGGTCAATTCTTTTGTCGGCTGTTCATTGAAATGTAGGCTAGCAACACATTTAATTTGGACCTTATAGTGCTGTGATAAGGGTGTTCATGTGACAATAGATTGCCCCCCATCCCGGTAGCTAATTGTCAAGCAATAAAACGGTATGGTCAGTCTCCCCGGTAGAACAGTGTATCACATGACAGGGGAACGTTTGATGCAATCTACTTTATTAAATAATCATGATTGCTACATTGTTATGAAGCTCACTAGTTTTGGTTCTGTGAGATTAGATTTCGAACGATACATACTCACATACTGATCTATTTTACTCGTAACAAGTTGTATTTTCCGCCGCACTCTATCTCAATCCTTTTAAAAAATAATGTTCTGAAGTAAGATCGAAATATTTTATGACATTTTAGTTTAATTGGCAATCAATGCAATATAATAATTCTGCTAATTGGATAGCAACAAACATTACTATCTAAAAATATAACTCTTATAAGAAATTTGGCAGCACATCTACCTAACGACGGCTATGGAAGTGACACAATGAATAAAAATAATATCAAGTGTATTCGGCCGCGCTATACAAGACCGTTTGTCCTCACAGATATGTCAATACGAGATGAATAATAATGTATTATTATAATATTAAAGCTCGCACAAGTTACGAGTGTTTGTGAACATAATTCATGTGGTCAATGTGGCGTGTAGACAGGAGCACAAATGTCAATAATAGTGATAAACATTAGCTTTATTTATAACCTTTTTTATTTACACAACATCATAAAAAATATATTTATTCCAATATAACAGGTGGAATTTCATTATCGTATTGCAATATCGATAATCGAATAACATTATCAATTTTAGATTCGTCACTCTCTATACTAGGGTGTGAAAATAAATTATAATTTTGCAATCGATATAATGTTTAACTCTTCCTCATTCGAGTGACTGTCAAATTCGTTGATCGATTATAATCGATTTGATTGCCGTAATTCAATGATGACGTTATCAATCATACATTATTTAATTTCAAGTTTTCAGTTGGGGTTTTTAATTGGAATATTTTCTTACATACAATAGTATTATGTAAGTAGGTAGGTAATTACCGACTGAGCAACTGCTATTTCTGTTACCTTACATACTTTAATCTGTATTAGTTTTTGTCATCCTGATAATTTTAGAAAAAATAAAATCCTATTTAAAATTATAGGTAGGTACGTAATAGCAATAACAAAAGTTATAAAAAAAATTCAAAAGATAATAATGTTCTTCTATTCTCAACAAGCACTTTTGATACAAAACCGCTATTTCGACCTATGTTATCAACGGTTCCATGGTGTAATGGTTAGCACTCTGGACTCTGAATCCAGCGATCCGAGTTCAAATCTCGGTGGAACCTGTTCTTTTTGTCATGCAAAATTATTTTCTTAGCTTTGTTTTAACATTTTTTTGTACCCATTACAATTTTATTTTATTAATTTGACGCTTCAATATTTTTTTTACGTTTTAGTATTCTATTCTAACATTGAATTACCTAGGTCACGTACATAGATTAAATCCTTACTAAATTCAAAAAGTTACGCATTTAGTAAATTAGGTATATAGTGTAGCTAAATTACTTTTTTAAAACCAGGCATTCTATATTTACTTTTAAAAAATCTATAATCCATAAAAGCGCGTATGATTCATATTGATGGCACGTCGCCGGGCGCGCGCCAGCCACGTGTTGCGCGCGGCACGCGACCAACGCTCGCGCGCTTATTTATTTTTTGTTTAATGAGCAAAAATATTTAATTGCTCTTTGAAGCTATTGTGCCTGTAGTGTAATCTCTTGTAGTGCTTGTTAACTGGGATGTATTTATATTGCCTGGCTCAAACCCTCGCTTTATAATAAATTTTTGTAAGTAGTTTTCATAAATGTATTTGTTTAACTTTGTATTTCTTCGACAGTACCTAAGTACCTAGGTAACATTTTCTTCTATAAGTGAATGCACATACCAATTCAAATATTTATTAAGATCACACGCATACTGAATAGGGATGTTGGCAAATTATTTGAATGTTTCAAAATTAGATTTTTTTCTTCTTGCGAAATCAAATAAGTAGGTACTAGGTATAGGGACGATACCGATTTGAAAGAACGTGACGTCACGACTCCATACATTTTATTGTCACTTTGTGCTTACTGTGGTCACGATCTATTGCTTGTTTTTAGTCAGTAAGGTTTTTAGTCAGTAAGAGTCTGACACTCCCTCCTGCCCGGCCCTGGGCAGGAGAAGTCATTTGATGATTTTCCCCTCACAAAAAAAAAAAACCGGTAACGTATTTAGCGACTTTACAATTGTTAGCTATTTTCTTAGATTAAATTTTATTAAGAAATCATTTCTAATATTTTTAATTAGGTACCTATGTAAGTATATTTGCTTTTTGATTTTAACACAGATATCGATCTGTGCGCGTAATACGCAGTGCATGGCAAGTTATTACATAAATAAATAAATAATACTCTTAGATATCGTAAGCGTAGCAGGTCACAATCATATTGTAAATTTTATATTGTATTTTTAATGCTTGTCAACGTCGACGTATCGCTTGCAGTCAACTAGCATAATCAGCCATTCAATTTACGGCCGAGCCTGTTTAATATATAACCGCAGTATCTACTACAATTTTTTTATTCATAGACCTATTACAGAACTATTGTATTGCTATTAATGAACCATTTGTATGTAGGTATTACTGTGGAGTTATAACCTCCTTGGATAAGTTCAAGGTCAAGGTTATGTCACAACTACAGTCTACAGTGCAACTTGCAAATAAATAAAGCATGATTATATCGGTTTAATTGTATTGGAGCATGACATGTGAAGCTGTTTATTTACTGTAAGTAAAAATACTTACTTATCTGCACGTGACCTTAAGTAAATTATTAGGGGTCACGGAAATGTAGGATGTATAATTCTTAGGTAAAAATAGTCTTGAGGATAGCAAATAATTTAATTTGGGGGACTAAGTTAATAATGAATAATTTCGAGTTTACAATGCAATGCAAACGATCACAGCGTTGTGTTTCGCCGTGTGAGTGAGGTTACCGGAGGCCCAAT